TACCAAGTTGTGCGTTGGATATGAGAAAGCGAGATTAGGCAAATTAGCCATTTGCTGTGGTGAATTTACATCCACTACCACAAATTCTTTTGGATTTCGAAAGCGCATGCTCACGAACTCAATCTTTTTTCTTTTGGATTAAAAAGATGGTGTGATATTATTTGAAACATTAATTGGTACAATATTTATAGATATCAGATTATTTATATTTTTTTATATATAATTATTAATTAAGAACGACTGGAACATATTGTTTTTTATTCCCAAGAAAGCGCACGAGCGAGCGGAGGTATACCATTTTTCATAAAATAAATTCCATCAGTTTTGGCAACCCATAAACGTGTCTCACCACATCGTCTGCTTTGGGCACCTCTGTACACCTCAATATTACGAGAATGCTCTAAATTAGGCCCGTGCTTCAAGAGACATGTTATCTTCCTCCTCTTATATCCCTTCTTCTCCTCCACAAATGTGAAGACCTCATTAGCACCAACTGCCAAATCTATTCCTTTTTCATAATTTTTCCCAATATGGCAATATATGCTAAGAATACCAGACGGAGGAGTGAGTTGGTTGGATACTGTTACGTTATTTTCTGGGCATGCTTCGTTCAACTCAAAATACATAACAGTAACTAACATAAAAACATCAAATTTGGAATAACAAAACATCAAATTTGGTATTTATAATTCTTTTGTGTGGATATACTACTCTTAAGCACCACTTTATATATCTTGTGATGATCGTCTTCAAGTAAATATAGCTGATGTGTGCAAGATATATGAGGTGGTGCTTAAGAGCATTTGCAATGGTTGTCTTTATATTTTATTCTAAAAATAGAGTTTTTTAAAAATAGAAAATGGGTTATTGCAATGGTTGTCTCTATATTTGACTCTAAATCTTACTATTAATTGTTTATAAGTCCTTTTACTTTTAAATTTTTTAAAAAACTTCTATTTACTTTATTTTTAATAACTTCACAAAAAAAAATTTAAATTTTATTTATTATATTTTGTTGTTTTATTTCAAACTTTTAAATAATTATAGAACTAATTATTATTATTATAGTTTAATTAAGTATAATATTATGTTGTATCTTATTGTTTAAGTGTCAAAAGATATGAAAGTTTAAAGATTGTTTTATAAATAAAAAAGTTCTATTCTATAAATAGAGAAATGAACAGTATTTCTCTATATATATAGATATATTGTTCATTTCTTTATTTATAGAATAAGATATAGAGTACTAATGCAGATAATTTTACTCTAAAAATAGAGTTTAGAGGCAGAAATAGAATACATATATATAGAGACATATTGTTTATTTCTCTATTTATAGAATAAGATATAGAGTACTAACGCAGATGATTTTACTCTAAAAATAGAGTTTAGAAGCAGAAATAGAATATCATTGCAGATGCTCAAAGAATAGTATGGATCTGTTCTTTTCATAAACGCTGCATCAGCGTTCTGCGACCAAGAAATATACGGTGGAGAACTTAAAATTGGTCTCTGTGAACACATCGGTGACGCTGCAATTACTAATAACGGTGACGCCGGTGTCGTTGATGCCGCTGGAAAAATATAGCGTCACTTTTTAGGTACTGCGACCACCTCCTGCGACACCTCTTTTTGCAGCAACATCTCCGACACATATCGACACATCGTCGTTTTGCTTCGTTATCTATTACGGTTGTTGCCGTTTCTCGCAGACGCCGCGTCGACGAAAAGAACAGACCCTATATCTCCCCCATTTTGCAGGGTCGCGTTGCATAGACCCTATCATTTTAAAGTTGCTAGGAACCTCAGATGCATAGTTTTTGATCTTATTAATTGCCTATATAGGTCGTTTCACAAGACGTCTATGAAGCCAATACATTCGTTTTATGGTTCCTTTTATCATTCCTTGGAACCATGAGTCGATTCCCTCCTTGTATTATCTTATCTAAGAATTTTGTAATCTTGATTTGATAAGAACAGGCTGTTCCTAACATTTGGTTTTCTACAAAATCTAGCCATGGAAACAAACAACACATCACCATAAAATGTCCGTCTGTTCGATATTTTCCACACACAAAAAAAAAAATCAAGACAAATGACAGTTTTATTATGAAAGATAAATGCTTAGAAAAATGAGCGAATTCAACTAGAAAAAAAAAGATGCTAACGGTTTGTTCTAACAAAAGACCAGCTGCTACCTTTTTGGGTTTTACTTGTTGGTATTTGACTAAAACAACAGATTCTTGAGGACTAAAAGAACAATCATTATGAAACAGAGTACAAGCAGTATCGTCGCACATTTCACCATTGCTCCTTCTCTTTGTGTTCTCTCGGCCTATTCAAACATTGGAAAAAAAAAAATCTTTTAGTAGTATTCCAAATTAGGAGTTTTTGGTAAAGAATCAAACCTTTTGTAGTTGTTTATAGCCTTCCTCGACCGATGTAGAAACATTTTGGATATTGTAGTCTATTCGGTCAACTATTGTTCCCTGATTCATACAAGAGCACAGAACTTTTGTTGAGAGAGAGAGCAAAGACAAGCTTTGTATCCAATTTACGAATATTTATATGCCTAAATGAGACAGCTTGAAACCTGGTCGATCACAAGAGCTGATAAGTCCTTCATTATCTGTGCAAGGTCATTCACGGACCCCAATACCTAGAGAGAAATCTGAAGTTAATCACCATTGTAATGTAGAAGTTAATTACGATGGAAATGTAGTAACAGCTTCTCATTACCTGCTGAATCTCTCTTTCCCTTTCCGCTGAGACATGTTGCCCTTTCTTCAACTTGATTGTCTGGTGCTCATCAAAACCCTAAAAAAGAATTTAAGACCAGTCATTCTCACTATGGTATTGGCAGTGTAATTAAGGAAGGCAATGTTAAATCATTGTGAAAATGGAACCGTTCTTGCTTGATAACCATAAGAAATGTGCTCAATGTCAATTATGTATTTTAGACAACAATTACGCACTTACCATCCCACCAAATTCATCTTCTTCATCCAGCCTTGACATCTTTCCATTGAAGTTAAACTCCAAATCTACTCCATCCTGACCCTAAGAAGCCAAATACATATAAGAACATCAGATTAGGACACATGAATGTACCAAGAATCAAATATTTGTTAATTTATTGAAGAAATGGGCAAATGATACCTCTTTCTGCTGCTGGAGACGTTTCAAATAAGTAGATTGTTTTCTGCGGAGCTCCATGGAGAGGTTCTGAAGATCTGTTGCAAGAGAACGCTGTCAAAAACAGTATGTCAAAGAGTAGGTCAAGTCCATTGGAGAGCCCCGCTAACACATGTAGACAGAACTTTAATCTCGAGCTACAAACTTGAGACATAGAATAACACAAAGCTTGTGAAAGAGAAGAAAAAAACAAAAAAAACAACCAAATTTACTTCATACGTTTCGCTAACTGATAATGTCAACTAGATTGGTAATGAAAAGATTTTCTTAGAACGACTTAACCCAGATTCCCATATCTGATTCTTCTAACAGCACAGAAGAAAAGGTAATCGCCACACACTGTCTTTATCGTTAACAAGCTCAATACTGGAAAAGTCCAACAATACCTGCACATTTTTCCTGAGATTTGATTCTTCTGAAGGCCCTCTAGTAGATAACTTCTGCAACCTCTTTTCTGAGTTCCTCAACAGATCCGTGATTTCATGAGTGAGCATCTCGACCGCACGTTGATTCCCTTTGTTATCTCCAAACGTAGGCATTAAAGCCTTTGAATGAGCCTTTGCTAATTCACCCATTTTGTCTCGAACCTTTTGTATATTAAAAGTTATCTCCTCAGAATCGTCTACCCAAGCTGGTGGGAGACCTATTGTGAAGGCATCGCTACTGCACAAACATTCACAATTAACAATAAGTCTGTATTTCCCTTGGAAAGGATATGAACACAAAATTAAAGGCACACTTCAATTCGATCATGATTCATCAAGAAAATTTCTCAGCCTGAGAAACTAATGGATCGAAATCTGTTGAATCATATGGATCAAAAAGAAAAATGGTATTTGCTTCCCGTGAGTTGCATTTGTTTAAATCACACTCTGCAACCTAAATCGCTTAGGGTTCTAATTCCGTACCTACGTTTTTTCTTGCGAACCAATCATGATTACAACTTGTTTCTATGTATAATCCAATAGTTGCCACCATTTTTGCAGAAATCAAACAATACATCCATAACCATGACAAAACGAAACGAACAAGAACACAAAAATTACCTCGACGGACCAGGATCATTGGAATTCAAAGGAGCATAAGAAGAGTGATTAGACCGAGCAAACGAGCCGCTAACCATTTCGATCACCGGACCACTGAACGAATCAGGCGCCGATAAAGATAAAGGAGCTCGCGCGCTCTTGCACGCATCCCTGTGCTTCCTGTACACCGTCGTTCGGTTCCTCGTCGCCATTCAAGCAAAATCAATTTCGAAACAATCGAATCTCAAAATCAATTACAGTAGAATTTTCCCGGAAAATTTTGGGATTTTTATAACACAAGATCGGATTTCACCAACGGGTGTCGTAGGAAGCTATAAATCTGAAAATCGCAAAATGTTTCTGCTTTAGCGCGTGCTGTGTAGACTTAGCCACAAAGGAGAATTATTTGGGCTTTAATAAATGGGCTTTCAGACTCATTTAAATATGAGGCTTTTTTGCACACTTGCTCAATGACTTGGGGTCAATATATTGCAAGTAGGTGTGTGGATCACACGTTTTAAGACGATGACGCACTTAAAAGTAAGCTAAAGGCTCTGAAAAGACGTAAACACCCTTAGTCTTCCATGCTAACTCGAGGCGGGAAAAGGTCAACAGAGGACGGTGGTTAGTGACCAAGTAGGGGTATTTTGGTCATTTTGAGTTTTCAATCACTAGATTCTTGCCCATCAATGGATTCTCGCCAGAGACAAAAGAAACCTCATTTAAAGGTCTCGCCTTTTTTGAACCAAAAAAAAAAAGGTCTCGCCTTTTTTGAACCAAAAAAAAAAGGTCTCGCCTTTAAGGTGTGTTTCCTCGCACTTTCCTGTAAAAAGAGGCTCAACAAAGTACTGTACTGACAGTTGCATATAAATGCACGAGGAAGGGTATTATTTAATTAGAAAAGTGATCTGAGATTTTCATTTCAGCTTTCCTTTTTTTGGATTCAGAAGCAAAATGGAAGAAACTTTGTTGGGCATTTGTGGGTTTGATTCTTCGAAGAAATATCGATTAGAAGAACTTGTCAAGCATCAGTCAGGTTAGTTTCAAAAATCCCCTCTTTCTCCGATTGGATTTAGCTTATCATTTTACTTTAGGGTTCATGCTAATGTTTTTAATTTCTCTGTCAAAATTCATTTTTATTGCCGTTAAGGTCTCTTGGGTGCTTGTAAATAATGGAGAAATTGTTCTCACTTTATTGGAATTTGTTGGGTTGATATAAGTTTTGTAATGGTAAACTTTTTTTGTAGGTTCTTGTATTGAGTTTGAAGATGTTGAAGGAGATGATGAAATGGCAGTGGATTATCCGTGTCCGTTTTGCTCAGATGATTATGATTTAGTTGAATTGTGTCACCATATAGACGAAGAGCATCAACTAGATGCTAACAATGGGGTAATTTCAGTTTATATCCATCTCAGAAACTCATTTACTGTTTTCTTTTAACTAGACATTCAGGCTTCACATGACGCAGATAGTTTTCGATTGTTCAGTGCTTATTTTAGCAGGTAAGATTGTGATTTTGTAATGAGAGTTGATAGGGACTTATTGGATTTTAGTTAACTTGGATTATTTGCTTTGATGCTATGAGGAGACAATTTGCAGTTGTGAATAGTTTGGAGTGGGAAAACGTTGTGGCTCAATCCTAGAAACCCTTTTGAGCTTAAAAAGAACGCACCTTTAGAAACTTAGACCGGTTCAGTATTCTCTGCAATGAAATTAGTCTTTTGGTGAATGTAATGATCAGCTTTGGTTGTGATGTAGGTATGTCCGGTTTGTAGCAGACGAGTGAAGATGGATATGGTTGATCACATAACCACGCAGCATAGAGATGTTCTGAAGATATCCTTTTTTACAAAATGACTCTTTCTTCTTTTGGTAAACGATGGTATGGTTAAATCAATATATCCACATTTGGGTCCCTTGACAAAAACCTTACCTTGAACAAAAGCAGAGACTTTACAAGGAGGAGTCTTATTCAGCATTTTCTCCAGGGACAAAGAAGTATATACAGTCCCTAATCGATGGGCCACTGTCTACTAATCATACATCCAAAAGTGTTCCTGACTCGTTACTATCATTTGTCTACAACCCGCCGTCACCGAATCAGGCCAAGCTTGTCCTGCCTGATTTATCAAATGGAGCAAACATGGAAGACAAGAGCCATATCAGGGATTCGACAGAAAGGTAAGCAACATTTTATGTTTTCTTGATTCTCCGTGCCTTGTTTCACCTTCACTAAAGCTACATTTTTCCTTTCGTATGTGCGCAGAGACAGGAAATCGCTGTCTCCCTTGTCAGATACCGAGCTACTAGAGAAGGCAAAGAAGAGAGAGTTTGTACAAGGTTTAATATCATCGGTCATGTTTAATAACTTCCACGACTTCTGAGTTAAATAAGAAAAGATGTGATACATTGTTTGAATCTTTATTGCTCTTAGTCAAGTATTTATATATTGAAACTCTGGCAAAGTACACTAGATTTTAGTCTATAAGCCAATGAGCTTTTGTTTCTCTTTCAAACTTCTACATTGTTTACAGCTCATAATCGTTAAGTTACTTCAGGCCGGAGTTTCCTTAACAACCACTTCTTGCGTAGTTTCACATCTAAAGCCAAGAAAGTTTTCGCCTTGAGTTCATCTTCAAGCAGATCACAAGCATCTAATATAAGCTCCTCGTCCATGTCTGGTAACGCTTGAATAGCCACAACAGCGTCCTCTATTGCCATGGTTTTGGTTTCATCAACTCGAGGCTTCTTCGGATTTATAGGGCTTGTATCAGTAGTACCAAGTTGATGATCTCTTTTGTTCTTGGGATCAAACAAAAGAGAGCTGCTATCTTCTTCCTCGGCTGAAATAGACAAATCTGTTGTTCCACTGGACTTGAACTCTTGGAACTCGGTTTCGGGGTCAAACCAGTCCATAGCTTCGAAGCAGTCATTTTCTTCGATCCCAGAATCGCCACAAAGCACACACAAATCTTTGTAGTATGGAATTGGTCGAGTCATGAATTGCCTTGCATCTCTATGAGCCTATTAATTGTTTCAGACAACAACACACTTTGATAAAGAAACCATACACTTAAGCTAAATATCAGAACACTCAATTACCTTTATATAGTCTTGCCAGACATTATCATCAGCTGTAACCATTTGACGCTCATCATCCCAACTAAACCCATCTGATCGAAGAAGACTCATGATCGCGTTAAATTGTCTTCTCAGAGTCTTATACCGATTCTTCAAGACATCAACATTAAAGTTAGACTCGAATTTAGCGTTGAAGAGATTAACCATCTCAGTCCATGCTTGTTTCCTGAAAACACCGTCAATCTGGTTTCCACTTCTCGCTTGGTCCAACATCAGACCAATGAAATACCGGTCCATTGGAGGATGCCAAGTAGTCCTGAACCGTGCTATGCTGCTTCCTTTTGAGTTAGATAAGATCGCTGTTGATTCACATTTTCTATTGTTGTAACCTTCATCTTCCTCGAGCAGAGTGTTGGTTTCTCCCTCAGTAGCATCCTCCTGAGCTGAAACACATAAATCATAGACTAAGAATCCAACGGGCCTCAAGCTTATACAATTCTCTTCACCAAATTCTGTGAATAGTAAGATTCAGTAGACTTAAAGATTGTACCTTTCCGCTCAGACATTCCATCTGTGTAAATCAAACACAGATCTTTGTAATAAGGTATCGACTTTATCCGAAAAGATTTTAAATTAGGATGACCCTTCAAAACAGTGAAAAAGAGACAAGACAAAAGAAGCGATGTCAAAGTTTATACCTTAAAACGAAGAAGAAGAACAAACAACACACAAAACCCGAAACGCAAAACGTACCTTGAGATACTCATCCCAAACGCTATTATCAGCAATCACCATCTGTCTCGTTTCATCCCAACTAAAACCATCTTCTTTCAAAAGATTCTTGACGGATTTAAACAAGTTCCTCAGTGTCTTGTGCCGGTTTTTCAAAACATCTTTCCCATAAGGAAACCTGAATTTCGCAGTGAAGGAAGAAGACATAAACTTCCACGCGCGTTTGCTAAAGAAATGATCTTCGAATCTATTGCCTTTTCTCACTTGCTCCAACATGAGTTCGATGAAATACTGATCCATTTCAGGCGTCCACACCGTTCTTAATCGCTCATTACCATCTCTGGTAGATGTGTTCATTATTTTCTCCCACTTTCTTACCTGCACGAAACACAAATTTGAGATGAGAAACAGAATCGAAAATCAAATTAAGAATTCGAGATTTCAATTGAATTAGCTAGAAGAGAGCAGAGATCGCCGCTTACAGAGAACTCCGGTGAAGGCAAGAGAGATATCAGTGATCTGAGCGGGAATTGGAGTTCCGGTGAACTTCTAGGGATAAGATTGTCCGGGATAAGGGCTATTCTCTTCGTGGCTAAGGTTATAATTTTATTCGCAACCAATTCAGAAAACCTTTGATGGGCTTACATTACTTGATGGGCCCTCAATATTACGGCGTCGTTTGGTCGTAGGGTTTATGATTGCAGAGAATGAGTGTGTTTCGACTTCGTCATCGTCTTCGTGAAAATTATCTGTTTACATTGACAGAAGAAGAAGGTTCGATCTTTAAAGGATACAGAGGAACATCTTCATCTCCAACTGGTGTTGTAAGTTTCTTATTTTCTCTTTGTTAAAAAGTGAGCTTCTCTATCAGTTCTGGGTTTGTATTAGCTGCGAATTTAGCTATGAAATCGTGAAAATCAGCTAGCTTCGGTACGAATTTAGCTATGAAATCGTGAAAATCAGCGAGCTTTGGTAACACAGTCACTCTAATTGCTGAAAAAAACCATGAACAGGATATAAACTGTGCATTTTTTCTGTGATTTTATTTTCAAAATGCTCTTGGGGGGTTTATGCAGCAAAGAGTAAAACCCTTGAATCAGTCCTTTGTTTTGTTGTGCAGTCGTCATTTCATCAATTCAACTCATAAATTCAAAGTATTTGGCGATGAGTAGCTTCAACGGAGACTCCATGGACGATTTCAAAGGCCTCCGAATAACTCAGCTCGATGATGATGATAACGAAGAGGAAGCTCCAATGGACCCGATACACGTCGATGAATTCGATGATGATGACGAAGAAGACGACGAAGATTGTGAACCTGTGATATTGGGTTTCGTCGAGAGTCCAAGATTCGCATGGTCAAAACTCCGTCAACTGTTCCCTAATTTAGCAGGCGGTGTTCCGGTACTACATTGTATAATCTTTCAATATTTGCAATCAAATTTCTTCTTAATATTTCTTAGGTTTTGAATTCTTGGGTTGAAATTTGTGATATAGGCATGGTTGGATCCAGTTAATGTACCATCAGGGAAGTCAATTCTCTGTGACATATGTGAAGAGCCTTTGCAATTTGTACTTCAGGTGAGTTTTCATACAAACTAAGTTGTTATTCCTCGCACATTTGTTTTGGTCGGTTTATTTACGAGATTGGAGGAAAATTTCGCAGCTTTATGCTCCGATAACGGACAAGGAATCAGCTTTTCACCGGACATTATTCCTCTTCATGTGTCCATCTATGTCTTGTCTCCTTCGTGATCAACATGAACAATGGAAACGTGCCCCCGAGAAAGTTATGCGGAGGTAGAAAGGAATCTCTTATTAGTTATCGCATCTTAGTGTTTGTTTTCACTTCATTCCAATTTGGTTGTTTCAATGAAACGCTTTTCTTTTTTCTCTGAAGTATGAAGGTTTTCCGTTGCCAGTTGCCTCGTGTTAATCCATTTTACTCGAGTGAGGCTCCGAAACACGATGGAACAGACAAGCCCTTGGGACTTGGAGGTATTTTATGAACCGTGTTATGGGTTTGACTCAATTCCCAGAGTTCTCTTTCATCTTCGATTCTTGATTTTGTTTTGTTTTGTTTATCTTTAGCTCCGCTTTGTACTTGGTGTGGAACGTGGAAAGGAGATAAAGTATGTAGCGGCTGCAAAAATGCTCGATATTGTTCACCGAAACACCAGGTGTGTATGTGTGTGTTTGTGTGTGCATAGTTTGTTTTCTATTGTTCTGCTAGATTCCACGTTCTTGAACAATCTTCTTGTTTATAATTTCCAGGCCCTGCATTGGCGCGTGGGTCATAAAACCGAATGTCAACAGCTTCGTGCGGTTCTCGAAACATCTGACTCAGGCCTTGTTGATAATGGGGTTTCTCTGACTCAACAGCAGAAAGGTTTGCAGAATACACAAACCTTTCTTAGCCTTGGAAGTGGGAATTTTATGTAACTAGTGATATGTTTGTGCAGTTGCGAGTAAGAGTCTATGGAAAGAATTTGTATTGGTCAATGAGGATGAAAGTGAGTATGATACAGAGATGTCAGAAGATGATGAAGTTGCTAAACCTTTGGTCTCAGTGAGAGAAGTTGACGACCAAATGAAATCGCTGATGAAAGATTTTGAGGTATAGACACTTTTTGCCGCCTTTTTTGCAACTGTAAATTTGCTCGAATGATTCTCAGTTACGTGTTTGTTAACAGGGAGATGCCGATAAAAATAGTTGGGTTAATTTCCAGCAACGCGTGGCCAAAGCACCTGAACAAGTCCTAAGGTGTGATTCAAACACACACAAGTTGGGATTTTTTGCATACATTTTTTTTCTTAATTCTCTCGTAACACCAATATGTGAAATACAGATATTGTCGGAGCTCTGGAGCTAAACCCCTTTGGCCAATAGCAAGTGGACGAGTCTCTAAATCTGAGATTCCCAATTGCAAATCTTGTGGTGGTCCTCGTTGTTTTGAATTTCAGGTACCTCTTTCATGTTTTACCAAATTTGATTTTCTCTTCTTAAATAACTCTACTACTGGTCATTAGTCACTGCATTTTAGGCCGTATCAAACCTGTCTATACCAAATTAACACAATTGTTTTCCCCATTTCATTGCTCTGTTCTTGCATATTGGAAGCTTGTCTCTGTTCTTGATCATATTAATGGCGGTTTTTTTCAGGTAATGCCGCAGCTATTGTTCTTCTTCGGCGGGAACAACGACAGGGAATCTCTCGATTGGGCAACAATCGTGGTGTACACGTGTGAGAACTCGTGTGAATCGAGCTCAAGTTACAAGGAAGAGTTTGTGTGGGTTCAGCTCTACAGTCAAACAACTTAGGCCTCTTCCCTTCTGTTTCTGCTGCCACAAAAGTTTTGTTCTTAACCGGATCAGACCTAATATTTGTAAAATTTTCATCGGTTATAATTGTTGTGTTAGTTTGGTTATGTCATTGTTTGCTTAAAGATCTCTATTTAGATTTTGACATAATATATTAATCATATATGTTTAGATTAGTTAGTTCGATAACAAAGTCGGATAATACGCGATTTACACAATTTACGATACATAATGGGAATTCAACAGTATTGGTCAACTTAGTCTAGTGATAAATTCTCTTCTAACTCACCTGTGAACAATGTTCTAAAATATGGCCTGGACGGCATCTGAACGCTATGCGGTAGATATATTTATTTTATACAATTCTGTAAGTTTAGATTTTGTTTATTCAACATTTGACATTAATTATATAATTTAAAACTATACCTTATTATACAACACAAGGATTTATTGAGTTCACTGCTAGAGGTTAACTTTTCATATCTACAAGTTAATGAACATAGTTTACTACCGTCGAGAACGTTTTAGAATACTAATGGTAACTATCGTACAAAATCTTTAAGGGGCTACTGCTGAGATGATTGAAAAAGAAAAAATGAATTGAAGACGAGAAATTAAGTCTACTGAAAAGGTTCTCATATTTGTCGCAAAGAAAGTGTTTTGACAAAGATGAATCACAAAAACCATGCAAAATCACTGCTAAACGAAAATTCACTATCGAAACAAAGTTCATTTTGCTCCCTTCTTAGACTTTTTCGCTGGGACCCTGCAAGAACCCAATGAAACAGTTTAGAATGTTGCCACAATACAATGAACAATTTGGTCAATCACGATGATGATCAAAACTTACTCTGCGGGCTGCGCAGGTGGTGCGGCGGCAGGTATGTCTCCTCCAGGACCCTGAAACGAAATAACAAAACCATATTAAATGAAATGATTTCAAAGCGAATTAACCAAGCCAAATAATATGAAATGATCAATGGTAGCTTATAATGGAAAAAGAAATCACCTTGGCAAGTCTTTCCTCTCTACGAGCATGTTTCCTTTCTCGGCTAGCCTTGTTCTTAGCCCTCTTAGCCTCAAACTGGTCAGACAGAGTCTTCTCTCTAGCCTTCTCAGCCTTAGACTTGTGGATGCTCTCCATCAGGACACGCTTGTTCTTGAAGACATTACCCTTGACTTTCATGTACATGTCATGGTACATGTGTCTGTCAATCTTCTTCGACTCCCTATACTTCTTCAGAAGACGCCTCAAGACCCTCATCCTCCTCATCCACAGTACCTTTGTTGGCAACCTTGCCTCCCTGGTACCCTTTCGCTTACCTTAAACCATTACACAATACACACATTAAAATGGTGGTCTTGTTGTAGTTTTCAAGAGTTTGGGTCCAAAATGTTAACTTACCATAACCAGAGTGACGTCCCTTTCTCTTGGCTATATTCATCCGGCGTGCTCTGGAACGTGAGTGAATCTTTGTTGGCTTCCTGATGATGAACCCATCCTTCACAAGCTTCCTGATGTTTTGGCCTACACTTACATAACCATCCAAAGAATCATAATCAGAACTAGTAGTATCAATCATCAAACGCATATAGACAGACACAAACACAATGATCGACAGTGTTCTATAGCGAGTTCAGTCCGTAAGAATCAGAATCTATAGCTTCATGAATCAGGGAAAAGAATAGTGAAGACCAAACTAAAAAATCAGTGAAAACATGTAAAAGATGTAACTTAAACCACATTTTCTGAGAATTTACTAAATTCATCAAATCGAATTCACATCATTCAACGTATTCAACGAATCAAACTACAAAAAGTTCTCATAATATCCTTTTCACTACCATCCTCATCAGCAAGCTTCGATCGCAGATTAAGCCAGCAAGAAAAACTAAATCTAAACAAACGAAGTAATTAAAAAAAATGAAGAAGAACATACGCGAATTGGCCATGGAGATATCACTCCCTTCGTTGGGATCGAGCCATATTTTCTTCTTTCCGCACTTCAGCACTGAAGCTGCGAGCCGTTTCTGGAGCTTCAACGAAACCATTTTCTCTGCCTCCCTTCTGGAGATTGATTTTTGGCGGAGAAAAGCAATCCAACGAAGACAATAATCTTTATATATGATATTTTCTAGGGTTACTCCTACAAAACCTCTCACTTTCTTCTCAAGCCCGTTATAGGCCCACTATTGAATTGCACACCTGCAATGTAAGACCAATTTCACCAGCCTAAACTGCAAACAACATTAAACCTAAACTCTACTTTTATAAGCCCATCATAGGCCCATCATTGACCTTACGAATGTTCGTTGACCTTGTTTCTCCTAACACGAATCTCTCTGAACCCGTAACATAAGAAGAAACATGGCAAAACGAACAAATAACCCAAAAATAGACGTCGAGAGGTAAAAAACCCCTTAAAAATAGATTATTCCAAAAATACATTTTTTTCTAACCTCTTTAAATAACCATTTTTCTATTTGATTCCTCTTTCTAATAATTACGAGAAGATCGAGAGAAAGAAGAAAAGGAAAAAAACAAAAAAAAAGATGAAAATGGTCGGAAGGATCTTTCTCCTTTTCCTCTCCGTCTCCGTCACGGTAGTCATCGCCGGAAAAGCTCCACCACCAACATTCACCGAGAAAGGCAAAGCCTTAGCTGAGAAACTATGCGAGAAATCCGAAGACAAAGCGTTCTGCGTTTCGAGCCTAACGTCGCGTCCCGAAGCACAAACCGCAACCGCGCCTAAACTCGGCGTGATCGCGTTAAGCATCGCGTCAACAAACGCTTCGGACACGTCTTTCTACATAAAAGCCAAACTAAAACAGAAAAACCTGGAGCCGGCGTTAGAAGACACGCTCGACGACTGCTCAAAGAATTACTTAGACGCAGTCGCGCAGCTAGACGATTCTCTGGCCGCTTTGCTCGCGAATGCGTTCATCGACGTCGATATATGGCTCAACACGGCGATTAGCGACGGCGAGGCTTGTGAAAGCGCTTTGAGCGAACGTGCTGGGAATGACGCTGAGCTTGCTCGTAGGAACACAAACTTCTTGAAGCTTTGCAAGGATGCTCTTCTCATCAACACTATTTTAACTCCATAAAGTTTATTTTGTTAGCCGATTAAAATTAATTTACATCGGCTTGTCTGTTGTAATATTTCGTTGATACGTGGGGGTAAATTAAACGATATTTGAAAATACTTTTTTTTTGGGAAATTTTGAACGAGCATATTGGAGTACATATATATATATATAGTACGTACATACAATAAATATACAACTTTTTCTTATATATGCTGTCATGCTGATGATATTAATCAGATTATGTATTTTGTGCTCTTCTATATCAAACAGTGAAATACTGTATGTATCATAAGATTTATTACATAGTCAGATCCAGAGATCCTCGATAACATTGTTTATTGTAATATTTAAAGTTATTAATTAATTTCCAAAAAGTTTGGATGAATTTATTATTCAATTATGCTGACGAGTTTAATAATCAGTTATGCTGACTAACAATATTATTAAAGTTTCTGATGATTTAATTTACATTTTACTACCACTGAACAAATTGGTATGCTTATCATTATCTCTATGATTATTAAGGTTTTTTCATTCAAAAAGACTGGATGCTAATAATTCCTTATTTGTATATTTAAAAGTCATATTCTTTGATAAATTATACTTTGACAAACATCTATTACATACTTCTAACAATACTACTAAAGTTTCTGATGATTTAATTTACATTTTACAACCACTGAAAAAATTGGTATGCGCTTATATTATTGGGACCTATATTATTAAGGTTTTTTTTTCATTCAAAAAGACTGGATGTGAAAATGTCATATGCTTTGATAATTTATATATTGACATGCATCTATTAAATTAAATGACTAAAAAAGACATGTTATTTATAGAGGTCAATTTTAATATACAGAAAGTTTTTAATCCGAAACTATTGACTTGAAAAAAGGTAATATTAACACAAAGGGAAAAATATCTTTGTTTTTTCTCATTTTAGTCTTTTGATTATATCGGACGGCATTTGTGTGGTCAGGGCTACCTGAGAGTTGATATCTGTCTCTCGCTCTTCTTCTTCTCTTCTCTTCCTCTTCTTCTTCACATCACTGTGTGCGTCTCTCTCTATTCTATCCTTTCGAAAACCTTCCCTATTCGAAATTTCACTCGCCTCTTCCGCGAAAGAGTTCTCAATCTCCGTCTCTAGGATTTCGGAATCTGGAGATTTGAATTCTTGTTCGATCAAATGGTGGATCGATTTAGTGCGATTGCTTTGCCTCATTAGCAGCAATGACTTCTACTTCTTCCATGTCCGGTGCGTATTCTTTCTCTCCTCTCTCCTTCTCTCTGATTTTGTTTATCGATACTTGTTCGTTGAAGAGTCGCACGTTCGAAGGCAGAGTTTAAGAGAAGCTTGTGACGTTTGTTTTGTTATTATCTCTAATTGAACTCGCGCTCAATTTTGTATTGCGTCTAGCGAATTTCCTTCCTGGGACCGTGTTTTCCGTAGCTATTAGTCCGGTACAGAGAGAAACTGAGAAAGTACGATTCTTTTTACGACTGTGTTGCAGTGAATGGGTTTCAACTACAATTGAATTTGAAAGCTTGTTTAGTTCTCGCTCTTGCCGTCGTGTACTGGCCTGCTATGATTTTTGGACTTTCCTAGTTCTTTGTGTGTATGCGTGGGATGGAGAAAGAGAGAACCCACTTGGGTGATATTTTGTTTCTCGTGTTTGTTGGGTCACTGAGAAAACGTATGAAAGTTAGATTTAGAGAGATTAGGTTGTAGACTAGTGCTTCTTTAAGTCAGTTCTTTCATGTGCCAACTAAACACATCCTAACCATCTTGTCGAGGACCACAGTTTCTATTAGTGGTTAAGGAACCTGTTTTCTTTTTTTTTATCAATAATTAGTTGCCTTGAATCGATGCATCCATTGTTTACCCTTTTTGGTCATTATTTTATTGTTTCCTGGGCTACATTGCAGTGTCTGTGGAATGTGTGAACATATGTAATCTAACGAAAGGAGATGGGAATGCAAGAAGCGATTGCAATGCTCTCTCCTGTGCTTGGAAAGCTCCAAGAGCGTTAACTGGGTTCCTAGCTAGCACTGCTCATCCACCTGTGTGTTCTCTATATCTATGTGGCAGAAATGGAAGAAAGAGTAGAAAAAAATCTGTAAGTATTCTCTATTGCTTTTCGTTATGTAGAGGGGTGTTAAGAGTATATTGTTTGGCTTTAATAGATATTTTAAGCTCCAGAAGAGGTGTTTTATCGTCTCTCCTTTGGATAATGTAGTGCGCGTGGCAGAGCTATGAATATGAAGTAGGTTTTTCTGAGGATCCTCATTTTGTAAATGTGAGAAAAATTCCGAGGTCCAGATCATCTTGTGGTGTTCATAAAAGATGGGAACTGTATTGCTTATCATCTGAATCTTCTGGTGCGTTCGGCGATGTTACCGCCGAAACATTATGGGAGGTAGTAGACCCTGCCCTCTTCATTTCTAATGGCACTTACTACCACGGTACTCTTAATCATTTTGATGGGCTGTTATCTCTGCAGGATCTCTTCCCATCGATATCTTACTTATCCTGTAAAGAACTAGAGTTTGTTCAAAAGGGCCTCAAGGTATGATGATATAAATTTCTTTATATTTGAGAGGCGTCTTTGAGCTATATGCTATATCATTGCCCCTTTACGGTGTTAAATATTGAATTGTATTTCAGTTTTCTGGTATTCATTTCTTAATTCAGTAAGAAAGGTTTGTGCAGTTAGCTTTTGAGGCACATCATGGTCAAAAGAGACGTAGTGGGGAACCATTTATTATACATCCAGTTGCAGTTGCTCGTATCCTTGGGGAACTTGTGAGTTGCACGATACATTATGAACATGGTTTACTTGAGGATAAGTTGGAAAGCTGATAAGTTATTTTTGTTCTTGTTTAGGAATTGGATTGGGAGTCTATTGTTGCTGGATTACTTCATGACACAGTCGAGGATACAAATTTTATTACTTTTGAAAAGATAGAAGAAGAGTTTGGTGCAACTGTGCGTCACATTGTAGAAGGAGAGACTAAGGTCTGCATATTTGTGTGTTGCTGCAATATAGAGAAATAACTCTACGCTTCCTTTGACATGAAGTTCATTTATGTATAAAAGATTTTTCTCTATTAGGTGTCTAAACTGGGAAAGTTGAAATGTAAAACCGAAAGTGAATCAATACAAGATGTTAAAGCAGATGATTTGCGGCAGATGTTTCTGGCGATGACAGACGAGGTTTCAACTCTATAAGTTTGTGTTTCTGTTTGTGTGGTTATCTTATTCATCAGCAGACCTAACTGTTTCATTCCAGGTCCGCGTCATTATTGTCAAGCTAGCTGACCGGTTGCATAATATGCGAACTCTCTGCCACATGCCTCCCCATAAGCAGGTGATTACTTCAAGTAGTTGAGATTTTTTGCCCATACAGCTCTCAGCTCTATGTTTCATTTGTGGTAACTTATGATTTTGTGGGTTTCGTTCAGTCCAGCATTGCAGGGGAGACTTTGCAGGTCTTTGCTCCTTTAGCGAAATTACTTGGAATGTATTCAATAAAGGTATAAGCCTTTAGTTATTGTTTTTGTTTGCTAGTAATCTTAAAATAATATTATGCCACGAGGTAGCATAGTTTTCCGGTCACATCAGTTGAAATGTATTCTAGTGTCTATATGAAACCTAATTATCTCAGTTTTTGTGTCCCATGGCGTTCTGAGTTTGTGGTGCTAATTTTGCAGTCTGAACTGGAAAATCTATCTTTCATGTACGTAAGTGCTGAGGATTATGAGAGAGTCACAAGCAGGATCGCTAACCTCTACAAAGAGCATGAGAAAGAACTCACTGAGGTAGTTTCAACTTATTATCGTCTCTGAGGTTAAAATGCCAAAACATTGATTGAAAAGGGAACGGAAATTAGTGAAGGATGTTCATTATCAACCTACACGTTCTTTGCCCTCTCGAACTGTGAATTCATCTGGGCGTTTATCGAGTTCATCTGTATTCACCGAGTCCTACTATGTATCTTAGGCAAACAGAATTTTGGTGAAAAAGATTGAAGATGATCAGTTTTTGGACCTTGTGACTGTGAATACTGATGTTCGTTCTGTTTGCAAGGAAACTTACAGGTGAATCTATTAAGTGATTTCTTCGATTTAGTCTGTACCTACCCTTTTCTTCAGCATCTGAAGTCTCTTATTTTTACATACAGCATATACAAAGCTGCGCTCAAATCAAAAGGATCGATTAATGATTACAACCAAATTGCTCAGGTTTGTGTTGTACACTCATCTCCAATTTGTATAAAATGTTTTGAGTGCAGAACTTCTATCTGCCAGCTTAATATGATTTTTAACACGCAGTTTCTCTAAATTTGTTTACTGTAGCAGTTACGGATTGTTGTAAAGCCAAAACCTTCAGTGGGGGTCGGGCCTTTGTGCAGTCCACAGCAGGTGAAAACCCAATGAAAAGGAAGCGGGTATCTTTTGTTCCGATTCGTTCTGGTGTGTCACTTAGCTTTCTCACTCTGTCATCAATGCAGATATGCTATCATGTTCTTGGGCTAGTTCATGAGATCTGGAAACCTATTCCCCGAACTGTACGTATCTGATCTTCTGTTCTTTCGGGATATATTTTCACTACATTACATTTGAGCATATGTCTTACCTTTTTGTTATAGGTAAAAGATTACATTGCGACACCGAAGCCTAATGGCTACCAGAGCCTCCATACTACTGTGATTCCGTTCTTGTATGAGAGTATGTTTCGGCTGGAGGTTCAGGTATTTGATTATATTTTTTTCAGCACAGTTCTTAGGAAAACGCCAATGATTAGTATATTTGAGCTTGTTTTTTTTTCTTTTAAAGGTTGAATCATAGGGAAATTTCTAAAATGCTGATTTGATTCGGTAACAAACTACATTTCTCTCTGCAGATCAGAACCGAGGAGATGGACTTGATAGCTGAAAGGGGGATTGCTGTTTACTATAATGGCAGGGCTCTTTCTGCTGGATTAGTTGGAAATCCGGTTCCTTTAGGTAGAAATTCAAGGGGGAAGACGGGTTGCCTGAACAATGCAGATTTTGCACTCAGGGTATTTTCTTAGCATACTCACAGTAAAATGCAGAGAGACATTCTAGAAGTAGGCAGTGATTTTTTTATTTGTTTGCCTTCCCAATATGATGTTAGTTATGACAGTTTATTTTTCCAGGTTGGGTGGCTAAATGCTATACGAGAATGGCAAGAGGAGTTTGTGGGTAACATGAGCTCTAGAGAATTTGTGGATACCATTACGCGGGACCTTTTAGGTAGTCGTGTGTTTGTATTCACACCTAAAGGAGAGGTAAATGACTAAGCTCACCTTGCAACCTCTGAAGTCTGAAACATTCATCCAAAAATTTCACGTCTTTGCTTAGATGCTTTGGCATTCTATATGCAGATAAAGAACCTTCCAAAAGGGGCCACCGTTGTTGACTATGCTTATTTGATTCACACGGAAATAGGAAACAAGATGGTAGCAGCAAAGGTATTTTCCACTTTCACGTCATTCTTTCCATGATATCTTTGATTTCTCTAGCTATTATCTTGAATACGGACAACAACTGGACAACGTTAAGGATACTTAATTGCTTGAAACTGCAGGTGAATGGTAATCTTGTTTCTCCAACGCATGTTCTTGAGAATGCCGAGGTCGTGGAGATACTCACCTACAACGTTTGTACCTTTTCTCTCTTGCATGTGTTTGTCATTTCTGCTTCCTTTTTGTCCTGCTCATGGAAATTCTGATTGCCTATTATGCTCTACTACCTCAGTTCTGTGAGCCCTCATGTTTTATTATTATTGTCACATCGCAGGCCCTCTCAAGCAAATCTGCTTTCCAGAGACATAAACAGTGGTTGCAACACGCCAAAACAAGGAGTGCAAGACACAAGATTATGAGGGTATGTTAATTTTATCCGCTCACTTTATGCTAATTGGCTCACTATTACTAATTGATGCGTCTCAACTTCTTCCAGTTCCTAAGGGAGCAAGCTGCGCAATGTGCTGCAGAAATAACCCAGGATCGAGTGAATGACTTTGTGGCGGACTCTGACAGTGACATGGAAGATCTCACAGAAGATTCAAGAAAGAGCCTACAGTGGTGGGAGAAAATTCTCGATAATGTTAAGCAGTTTCAATCACAAGACAAAAGCAGAAACGTAACCCCTGCGTCTCAAAACGGGAGCGTTTGGGTCCCAAAGGTTAATGGGAAACACAACAAAGCCATCAAAAACTCGAGTTTGGAGAATCCGGAGTTCTTCTTACCTGGAGATGGAATTGCCAAGATTTTGCCTGCTAACATCCCTGCTTATAAAGAAGTGTTGCCTGGTTTAGACAGTTGGCGAGCCAGTAAAATTGACTCATGGCATCACCTCGAAGGTCACTCCATCGACTGGTTATGTGTAGTATCCATGGATCGTAAAGGTATGTTCTTCATTTGCTTTATGGGCATGAATCCAAAACCACTTCTTTTTTTTCTCTTTATTGGAATTTCAAATCAAAACTATATGTTATATTTTCACAGGCATAATTGCAGAGGTTACAACAGTCCTTGCAGCTGAAGGCATGGCAGTATGTTCTTGTGTGGTGCGTGCTTTAACTGTAAAACCTTACTTCTGAACTTGATAGTTTCCAACGACTCATCTGACAAATGTCATGGTTTTTGGCAGGCCGAGATTGACAGAGGAAGAGGATTAGCAGTAATGTTGTTTCAAATAGAAGCAAACATTGAAACTTTGGTAGTATATATGTCCCAATGCTCTAAAACTCTCTTTTAACAATTTTTTCCGATTTTGGATTACTAAATCTAACCCGTCTCTTTATGTATCTGTAACTCCCAGGTAAGTGTTTGCGCAAAGGTGGATCTAATCTTGGGTGTGTTGGGATGGTCCAGTGGTTGCAGCTGGCCAAGATCAACAAATAATGCTCAAGTTCTTGAGTGTTAAACGCCAAAGGACTCATGTTCTTGGCCATGAAGTTTTGTCATGTTCAGTGGAAAAAACAAGCAAACTTGAGAAGAAGAGGGACTGGTTGCTCAAAGTAGAGGTAGAGAGCTCTTATAATATTCTTGGAAAAAATAAATATCATTTTGTTTTGAAAATAAAACCATTAAAAGAGAGTCAAATTCTTTTAGATATTTTGTGTTCAATAAATCGAGGTCATTGTATATAAAGACCAAAGAGTGGGATTAACATACCAATGTAATATGTAGATACTCTTGTTAAACCTATACTTGCACATAGAAAAAAAAATGGATGCATTTCACAAAACGGTTTCTTTAGCATCTTCGTCAATTTTGTTTTCTTGTTCCTTTAGTCAATACCAAGACAAATATAGGAAACTACATCTTTTCTTATTGAGATCAAAGTTTTTTTTCCCTCCCTCTTTTTATTGTTGATTCCAATCATGGATGATAAGCCAGATTTTAAGGAAGTGTATCCATAGCTATGAAACCTTCGCATGGTACTAGAGGGTTGAACAGGTATATAAGAAAGACACCATAAGATACATGAAAAATCATGATAAATAAATTAAAAACAGAGAAAACAGACTCTTAGCTCATTTTCAGACAACGTTATACGACGAATCAAACAGACGAAAAGATTTCTCAAAGGACAAGTTACACATGATCATCAAAAGAAGATTGTTAGTAGTAAGTAGGTTCAGAGGTATAGAAGAAAGGACCAGCCCAGTAAAGCTTGAAACTCTTGTCTTCAAGAACACGGTACTTGGTCAATGACTGTCCTCTCACACCTCTGTTCACATCGGTCGGGAAATCGCAATCTTCGATTGGAGATTGGTAAAGGAAAGCTTTGCATTTGGTCACCATCTTTCCTGCACGAAGCTCTGAAGGGAATAGCGTGGCGAAGAAGTAACCTTTAGAATCAGTTTTGCTGCTCATTATTGAGATTGGAACTATCTCTTTGCCATACACGTCTGTCTTCACACATGAAATTCTCGCCGTAGCACCTGTCCATAAACAAACGATTAACGCTATTCTTTTAAACTTTAGCAACAACGAGAAAGAAATTGCATATTCATCGTCGTTTTCCCTAAGCTAAGCCGCAACAAATAAAACGTTACACTTTGTTTATTTTTTATTTTTAAGACAAAACAAATATATTGATATCATAACGAGTTTACAAGATATAGAACTTGATAGAACCGCTTAACGCAAATATAAGAAATTGAAACAATTTCGATGAAGGAGTAGAGAGTAATCATACTACCTTTTCGGAAATAGTTTTATAAGCTAACGTTACACTTTGTTTATATATGTTAGAACTATAATTATAAGTGGGAGCTATGTGAATTATACGACCTTATTTACTCAAATTTTCTTCTACCATTAGACTAATTCGCCTTGGTTATTTAAAAGAAGTTTTATTACCTTGAATTGGGTAAGATTTGTCACCAGACTTGCACATGATGACACCTTCAACTGCAACCGGAATTAATTTTCCGGTCTCGGGGTCGGCTTCATCGCCGTAATAAGCAACTGAGGATATGATTAGAGATGAGAAGACAACGAGAGAAGCAGCAAATGAGAGGCGTGAAAAAGCCATTTTTTGGCTTTTTGCTTGCTTTTGCAAATATGTTGGATTGCTGAAAAAAAGCAAGTGAAGTTTTGAAAACTAGTTCCATGTGTTTATATAGATTAATTGCATTGACAAGGTTAATGAATTTTATATTTGGATTATTGGTTTTGCTGTGTAAATTAATTAAAGTCAAGCTAGAACACAACGAGCAACTTGTGATAAGAACTTAAGAACGTGTGTGCACGGCATAACAAGAGTGCTATTGTTCCGACGTGATACGCATAAAATACTGATGTGGATTAACAAAGACGGCTCCAACACTATGGATGGACAAGATGTCCGAAATTGATATTTGATACTAATGCTATCCATTTCAAAAGTTCGAATGTCACTTTAAGATTTTGAATTAGAATTATAACCTAATCAGAATCATAGAGTTGTTAACAATATTTAAAATTTATGTAGCATGGAGCAGAGGCTGAATATAGCAAAGCCTAGTGCAGCAGAACTTCCATCCATTAGATTTTATGGCATCGCAAACCGAAGCATATGAAGAGAGATTATTGGGCCATATTCTATTGTATTGAGTTTATATATGTATTACATTTGAGAAATATATATATTGGAAGTTGGGAAAGATCTTTGGGTAACATGTGATGTATATATATTATATGTATGAATTGATTATCGAATAAGAAAACGTATTCAGTATTTCCACAGGGATTCTAAGGCGCAGGCCACCCATATCTGTGATGTCTAAGATTCTTTTTATGAACAACCTTTGTTAAGTTACTGGGTTTCCAACTCAAAACTAATTGGCAATGAATGGACTGGTCCAAATTACTTAAATATTAGTGTTAGTCCCTTTAAATTTATGATATGGTATTCTAACATGTCCGCTTAAGATGATGGTTTTTATCGGCTCATTTTGAACCAAATTCTACTTTAAAACCAGTAATAAACATTTCTTGGATCAACAAACAAGATTCTGATACAATGTTAAGTTATTGGGTTTCCAACTCAACGAATTGGTAATGAGTGGATTGGGTCAAATCTCTTATATATTAGTGTTAATTTTTTTAAACTTTCAATGTAGAATTCTAACAACCACTAATCAAACAAAAAAAACCTATGTTCAGATGAATGTTGATATTGAATCAATGAGTTTCAAGAGCTTCTGCCAGATCTAGAAGCCAGGAGATTTGTCTGGGGCTATCCAAAAAGATGCATAACGCATAAGTGTATGCTTTCTCTAGGCTACACATCAAAATCTATGAGTAAATCTGTAATCTCCAAAAATTAAAAGTTAGAGAGATGAAATTCAATCTATAGAGATTAGATTATCATAAAGGTCCAACAAGGACCAGTCCAAAAATATTAAAGGTAGATAAAAAGGCCCAGAAAGGCCACAAAAGATCCACTGAAATGATCAGAAACTTTCTTTATACTGTATTTTTGTCGTACTCGGGCTAAACAAAAATATAAATTTGATCGGTCACTGATTGATTTGTATTTTCTTTTCAAAGAAAGTATGAAAAATAGAATTTAAAACCTTTCTGGAAACTACGTGCCGCGAAAACAGAGCACCAGTTGTCCTCTTCCTCTTTAAATATCTACTTCTCGATAAAACCGCTTTCCAAAACAGAGCAACACTCAGCCTCCACTGGTATACTATTCCTAAACCACTGTAAGTGTTGTGTTATATATACATACATTCTCAGTTTCTCACATACTCACATGCTTCCTCCTTTACTGCTTTACACAAACACGTCACTTTTAGCAAAAACAGTAGCAAGAAACATAGAAGATCAAACACGTCTTCTTCTCTCTCTCTCTCCTTTCTCGCCTAAATTCCAGAATCATTCTGTCTTTTTTTAATCATTTTATCAATGAATCATTGAATTTTCCTGTTTAGTAGCGTTTATTGGTGATTTGATCATTCAAAGTCGGAAGCTTTTTTTGGATTTGGCGGTTTTTGGATCATCTGAATATCCATGTCAACCCCTAAGCTCACTAGGATTCCAAGTACGAGGGATCGCGTGCAAGATACACTCTCTGCAAATCGCAACGAACTTGTCTCTCTTCTCTCCAGGTTCGTAGTCGGTTTCCTGAATCACTTGAATTTTTCGGTGAATAATTTCGACCCTTTTTCCCGAGAAAATTCGTTTTCCAGGAAAAAAAATTCGACCTTTTTTTTTTTAATTTGACTATCGTTTGTGTGTTTTTTTAAGGTATGTGGATCAGGGAAAAGGGATTCTTCAGCCACATAACTTAATCGACGAACTCGAATCTATAATCGGAGACGATACAACGAAGAAATGTCTCGCTGATGGTCCTTTTGGCGATATCCTCAAATCCGCTATGGTGAATGAAAGTTTTCACCTTTTTCGTATTCTGTGTTGATTTCAAAGTTCGCGAATTTCACAGTAATCGCTTAAACATGTTGTAGGAAGCCATAGTTATTCCACCTTTTGTTGCCTTAGCCGTCAGACCAAGACCTGGTGTTTGGGAATACGTTCGTGTTAATGTCTATGAGCTAAGTGTTGAACAGTTAACTGTCTCTGAGTATCTTCGTTTCAAAGAAGAACTCGTTGATGGACCTAGTAGTGACCCATTTCGTCTTGAGCTCGATTTCGAGCCCTTCAATGCAAACGTGCCACGTCCTTCACGTTCGTCTTCGATTGGTAATGGAGTTCAGTTTCTGAATCGTCACTTATCTTCTGTGATGTTCCGTAACAAAGATTGCTTGGAGCCTCTACTTGATTTCCTTAGAGTTCATAGGTACAAAGGTCATGTAAGTTTCCTATAAAGCTTTTGTTCTTGTTTTGTTGCTATAAGATGTTATGAAATTGGTAAAAATGGGAACTTTTTGTGTGTGTGACAGACATTGATGTTGAATGATCGGATTCAAAGCATATCTCGGCTTCAAAGTCAACTTAATAAAGCAGAAGATTATATCTCTAAGCTTCCACAAGAAACTCCCTTCTCAGAATTCGAATATTCGCTTCAAGGAATGGGTTTTGAGAAAGGATGGGGAGATACCGCAAGGAGAGTTCTCGAAATGATGTATCTTCTCTCTGATATTCTTCAAGCTCCTGATCCTTCTTCCTTGGAGAAGTTTCTCGGGATCGTACCAATGGTTTTCAATGTTGTGATCTTATCTCCACATGGATATTTCGGGCAAGCAAATGTCTTAGGCTTACCTGACACTGGTGGACAAGTATTAATCTCCCTAAACCTTTGTTTTACTCACTTGTTCCGGATTTCGATTAGCTTTTTTAAGATCCTTGGATGTTTCAGGTTGTTTACATTCTAGACCAAGTTCGAGCCCTTGAGACCGAAATGCTAATGAGAATAAAGAGACAAGGATTAGATATAACACCTAGGATTCTCATCGTAAGTTTGTATCTTTGATTATTAAAAGGCTTGCTTATCTCAAGATTTTGATTATGGACTACAAATTCTCTTCCTTTTTTATCCAAGGTAACAAGATTGATACCGGATGCGAAAGGAACTACGTGCAACCAACGGTTAGAGAGAGTCAGTGGAACTGAGCATACTCACATTCTCCGGGTTCCTTTTAGGTCTGATAAAGGAATCCTTCGCAAGTGGATTTCAAGATTCGACGTTTGGCCTTATCTAGAGAACTATGCTCAGGTTTAAAAATCATACCTTTCTTGAGTTTTGTTTACTTCTTATGTAAAGAGAAAAGAAGTTCACTGTCTTTAGTAAAAATCATACCTTTCTTGAGTTTTGTTTACTTCTTATGTAAGAGAAAAGAAGTTCACTGTCTTTAGTAAAAATCATACCTTTCTTGAGTTTCGTTTACTTCTTATGTAAAGAGAAAAGAAGTTCACTGTCTTTAGTAAAACAGGATGCAGCGAGCGAGATTATTGGTGAATTACAAGGTGTACCTGATTTTATCATCGGTAACTACAGCGACGGAAACCTTGTTGCGTCGTTAATGGCACATAAAATGGGTGTTACGCAGGTAATACAAGTTTCAAGTTTTAGCCTCACAAATTTACTTGTTATGTAGTTGTCTTAGGAAAATCACAGAATGTGGATTCTTGAATTGTGACATAAACAGTGTACGATTGCACATGCCCTGGAGAAAACAAAGTATCCAGATTCAGACATTTACTGGAAAGACTTCGACGAAAAGTATCATTTCTCTTGTCAATTCACAGCTGATCTTATCGCAATGAACAACGCAGATTTCATCATCACAAGTACTTACCAAGAAATCGCAGGAACGTAAGTGACTAATTAGTATCGCAAAAGTTCTTCTTTTTCTTCTTTCGCTAGGGCTCTTTCTTATCCAGGATACGAATTGTTTTTGGTCTCAGGAAGAACACGGTCGGTCAATATGAAAGCCACGGAGCTTTTACGCTCCCTGGACTATACAGAGTAGTTCATGGCGTCGATGTGTTTGATCCAAAGTTCAACATAGTCTCACCTGGCGCAGACATGACCATTTATTTCCCATTCTCAGATGAAACTAAGAGACTTACAGCTTTACATGGTTCCATTGAAGATATGCTCTATAGCACTGACCAAACTGATGAGCATGTGTAAGTAGTATTGACATTACTGTTTGTCTTTATGGTACATTCGGTTTCGATTACATAAAAACAGAGTTTGGCTTTAAGAATCTTGGTTTTCCCTCTCAAATCTCAACCCTTTTTGATGTTTTGGATGGTTTTGTTGATTTGCAGGGGTACGTTGAGCGATAAGTCGAAGCCAATACTCTTCTCTATGGCGAGGCTAGACAAAGTGAAGAACATATCGGGTTTAGTTGAGATGTACGCTAAGAACACAAAGTTGAGGGAGCTGGTGAATCTGGTTTTGATAGCTGGTAACATTGATGTGAACAAGTCAAAAGACAGAGAAGAAATCTCAGAGATTGAGAAGATGCATGGCCTTATGAAAAGTTACAAGCTTGAAGGACAGTTTCGTTGGATAACGGCTCAGACAAACCGAGCTCGAAACGGTGAGCTTTACCGCTACATCGCCGATACAGGAGGTGCTTTTGCTCAGGTAATAACTGGCATTCACTTTCCCGGTTTTGGATTAACTAT